ACACTCGCATTTTTGGTGTCGGGGTCCTAAACAATGCTTAATGGCTTTTTGAAAGATGCTAGTTTTGGCCCTTCCTCAAATCTACAAACCTGTATTTCACGCGTGGAAGTCTATTAAATTGAAAAGTGCGCGGGTTGGAGATTCTCGGCCTTGTCACTTTTCTTTTATTTCGCCCGTCCTCGCGTGATTAGCGATGTGCCACACTCGCGTTTTCTCGTGTCCGAATCCTTGAGACGTGTACGAAAAGATTTCTCGTTTTGCAAGATTTTGCATTGCTAGCCTTGTTTAAGGCGTTGTTCAACCTAATTCACATGAGAGAGTTTTTTTTTCCGCACCTATTTCTAAATTTTTTTTTCCTGTCCAAGAATCCTCTGGTTCGCTTAAGGCTTCTTAGAAAAATGCCAGTTTTAGCCTTACTTGGATCTCCACGCGTGAAACGCACTAGTGGACATTTTTGAACTGGACAGTGCCTGGGTTGGAGATTCTCGTTCATGTCATTTCTTCTTTGTCCCGCGCATCTTCGTGCGTTTAGCGATGTGCCCCAGTCGCGTTTTAAGTCTCAAAATCCTAAACTATGTTAAATGGGTTTATTAAAGATGCCAGTTTTGGCCTTCCTAAAAATCTCCAAAGGTACGTTTCACGCGTGGAATTCTACTTAATGGAAAATTGCGTGGGTTAGAGATTCTCACTCATGTCATCTTTTCTTTCTCTCGCTCATATTCGCTCGTTTCGGGATGTGCCTCGGTCGCGTTTTAGGTTTCCGAATCCTATACAATGATTAAAGATTTCTCCGTTTGTAAGATTTTACATTCCTGACCGTGTTTAAGGAGTAGTCCAGCGTCATTCACAGGAGGAAGTTCCTTATCTCATCTCTTTAAATTCTTGGCTGTTTTTCCCTGTCCAGGATTCCTCTGCTTGGCTTAAAGCGATTTGAAAGATGCCAGTTTTTGCCCTACTTGGATCTCCACACTTGAAACACACGCGCATACATTTCTCGAACTGGACAGTACCTGGGTTAGGACTTCTCGGGTATGTCATTTTTTGTTCCTCTCGCGCATCCTCCTGTGTTTAGCGATGTGTCACAGTCGCGTTTTTGGTCTCGAAATCCAGGACTATGCTTAACGGCTTTTTAAAAGATGCAAGTTTTGGCCCTCCGTGAAATCTCCACACCTGTTTTCCACGCATAAAATTGTACCAAACTAGACAGTGCGTGAAATGGAGATTCTAGCCTTTTCATTTTTCTTCCATCTCACGCGTCCTCCGCGTTTAGCGATGTGCCACACTCAAGTTTCGGTGTCGGGATCCTTAGCCATGGTTAATGGCTTTTTAAAAGATGCCAGATTTGGCCCTCACTCAAATCTTCACACCTGTATTTCACGCGTGGAAGTCTATAGAATTGGGCAGTGCGTGGATTGGAGATTCACGCCCATGCCATTTTTCATTGATCTGGCGCGTCCTTGCGCGTTTGGCGATGTGCCACATTTGCGTTTCCGGTGTCGGGATCCTAAATTATGCTTAATGGCTTTTTGAAAGATACTAGTTTTGGACCTCCCTCAAATCTACACACCTGTATTTCACGTGTGAAAGTCTACCGAATTGGACAGTGCGTAGGATGAAGATTCTTGCCCGTGTCATTTTTTTCTTCTATCTCGTGCGTCCTCGCGCGCTTGGCGATGTGTCACACTCGCGTTTTTGGTGTCGGGCCCCTAAACTATGTTTAATGGCTTTTTAAAGATGTAAGTTTTGTTCCTTCCTTAAATCTACACGCCTGCATTTCACGGACAGAAGTCTATTTCACTGGGCAGTGCTTGGGTTGAAGATGCTTAAATCACGGGTAGCTGGAGCACTGAATCATGGGAAGACTGGGCCGGGGCGGTAGACACGGTGCCCAGATCCTCGATGATGATTCAGGTACGCGACGAGGAGTGGTTTTAGGAAGGGCCTTTTATATTGGTTTTAAGAACCCCGTAATTTGACGGAGTATCTAGTAGAATATAACAGAGTCCGCGTGCCAGAGCTTGCCAAAGGTTCTTTAGCATTTACTTCAACACGACTGCGTTTTATGGTTTCCCAATATAATTTCCTACCTTTGAATGAACAAGACAAACATGGTAAGAAGTCAACTCTTTAATAATTTTGAAGCCAAAGGTAAGCCTCAATAGTTATCCGATTAAAAAAAACAAAAAAAACATGCAGAATATACAAAATGCACAATAAACAGTGTTGATTATTTCAAAAAAACTTGTCCTACAGTTTTTACCCTAATGAACGAACTTCTACCAAATTTAATGCCTAGTTATACAGAGTTCACAGTAGTTTGCGGCTACTTAATACATAAGGTTCAATAACGTAAAATAAAGTAGCAAAAACGCAACGGCTGGACTATATGTTAACGGTAACATAATGTGAGTCACTTAATTTTCGCGTCTGTTATGTTCGCGACACTTACTGTTCGCGTCACTGTAATTTTGCGATTTTTTTTCAATCGCGAAATTCGCGAAATTAACGTGTCGTGAAAATATCATGTAATAAGGTGGGTAAAAACCAATCAAAACCTGAAAATAATTTGATTTAGTATATAATTACAAAAATACTGCATCGGTGGAAGTATTACACCATGCCAACTTATCAAATTAATTAACAAAAGGTGCACTGAACAAAAAATATATATTCGTTTAGAATTTCTGAAGATATGCTGGCACTACTAGGTATATATATGTTGTTAATAAGATGTCCATCTTAAGGACACTTAGCTAGGTAAGGCTAGATATAGCAAGGCCACTTAGAGGCTCTGGAAGAGGGAGAGGCTACATCTGAACTAAGCTTAATGGGTGTTTAAAGATGCTAGTTTCGGCCCTCCCTCAAATCTACACACCTGTATTTCAGGCGTGGAAGTCTACAAATTACACAGTGCGTGGGATGAAGATTCTTGCCCATGTCATTTTCCCTTCATCTCACGCGTCCCCGTGCGTTTAGCACTGTCCCACACTTGCGTTTTCAATGTCGGGGCCCTAAACTATGCTTAATGACTTTTTGAAAGATCCTAGTTCTGGCTTTCCTTCAAATCTACACAACTGTATTTCAAGCGTGGAAGTCTACCAAATTGGACAGTGCGTGGAATAAAGATTCTTGCCTATGTCATTTTTCTTTTATCTCACGCGTTCTTACGCGTTGAGCGATGTGGCACACTCACGTTTTCGGTGTCGGGATCCTAAACTAGGCTTAATAAGTCAGTTTAAAGATGCTAGTTTTGGCCCTCCCTCAAATCCACACACCTCTATTTCAGGCGTGGAAGTCTATTCCATTGGACAGTGCATGAGATAAAGATTCTTGCCCGTGTCATTTTTCTTTTATCTCGCGCGTCCTTGTCCGTTGAGCGATGTGGCACGCTCGCGTTTTCGGTGTCGGTATCCTAAACTATGCTTAATGGGTTTTTAAAGCAGCTAGTTTTGGCCCTCCCCGAAATCTACATACCTGTATTTCACGCGAGGAAGTCTAAAAATTGGACAGTACTTGGCAGGAAGATTCTTGCCCATGTCATTTTTCTTTTATCTCGCGCGTGCTTGTGCATTGAGTGACGTGGCACACTCGCGTTTTTGGTGTCGGCATCCTAAACTATGTTTAATGGGTTTTTAAAGATGCTAGTTTTGGCCCTCCCTCAAATCTAAACACCTGTATTTCCAGCATGGAAGTTCACCACATTGGACAGTGCGTGGAATAAAGATTCTTGCCCGTGTCATTTTTCCTTTATCTCGCGTGTCCCTGCGCGTTGCGCGATGTGCGCACACGCGTTTTGGGCGTCAGATTCCTAAACTATGCTTAATGGCTTTTTAAAGATGCTAGTTTTGGCTCTCCCTAAAATCTACGAACCTGTATTTCTCCCGTGGAAGTCTACCACATTGGACAGTGCGTGGAATAAAGATTCTTCTCCATGTCATTTTTCTGTTATCTCACGCGTCCTTGCGCGTTGATCGATGTGCCACACTTGCGTTTTCGGTGTTGGCAACTATGCTTAATAGCTTGCTAAAGATACTAGCTTGGCATTCCCAGAAATCTACCCACCTGTATTTCACGCCTAAAATTTTAAATATTGAACAGTGCGTGTAATAAATATTTTTGCCCATCTCATTTTGCTATTATCTCGCGCGTCCTTGCGCGGGTTGAGCGATGTGGCACACTCGCGTTTTCGGTGTCGGGATCCTAAACTATGCTTAATGGCTTTTTAAAGATGCTAGTTTTGGCTCTCCCTCAAATCTACACACCTGTACTTCAGGCGTGGAAGTCTACAAATTGGACAGTGCGTGGGATAATGATCCTTGCCCATGTCGTGTTTTTTTTTTTCATCTCACGCGTCCCCGCGCGTTGAGCGATATGCCACACTCGCGTTTTTGCTGTCAGGATCCTAAACTATGCTTAATGGGTTTTTAAAGATGTTAGTTTTTGCCCTTCTCCAAATCCACACACCTGTATTTCACGCGTGGAAGTCTATCGAATTGGACAGCACGTGGGGTTGGAATCGAAATTATCGCCCAGATCATTTTTCATTCATCGGGTGCGTCCTGGCCCGTTTGGCCATGTACCACACTTGCGTTTTCGGTGTCGAGATCCTAACCTATGCTTAATGGGCTTTAAAAGATGCTAGTTTTGGCCCTCCCTCAAATTCACACACCTCTATTTTACGCGTAAAAGTCTACCAAATTGGAGAGTGCGTGGGATAAAGATTCTT